GAGAAATAGGAAACCGGCTAATGCTACATCCATATAAGAGAAGACTATGCATTGTTAAAAAGAAACAAGCGGTTTCAGGTATGATGTCCAGAAAATGTTACGTGAAAGCAGGGATGGAGCAGTGTTTTTTGTATGCCACTATCTGTGTAAGAAAATGTGTGTGTGTGTCTGAGAGAGAAAGAGATGGAGGGAGAAAGTTGACTATTTCTTCGAAATGACTCATAAGAAACTGGGAGCGATGGTGGTCTGGGCGTGGAAGGAAGGCTAGGTTTTCACTGACTCTGATCTTGTACCTTTAGAATGAAACATGTACACACATTACACATTGACGATAACCACAGCATAAAGGTCTAGAAAAGTTATTTCTTAGTATCTCTTAATGTTTATTCCCAGAGTTAAGACACTCTTCGTTATGCTTCAAAACAGGCTGTACTTTTAACAGATATCTTTATGTTTGACCATCTGTAGAAATAGAAAACCTATCAGCAACCTTTGAAAGATGCTAGTCTGAACATACTATTGGTTTAAAACTCCTCCCTTTTCCCCATAAGGTAGAGTGCAGTTCCAGCAGCCTATGGGGAAAGCCGGACTTCCACGGTGGCTCAGCTGGTAAAGAATCCGCCTGCAATGTGGGAGACCTGGGTTCGATTCCTGGCTCGGGAAGATCCCCTGGAGAAGGGCACAACAACCCACTATTCTTGCCTGGAGAACCCCAGGGACAGAGGAGCCTGGTGGGCTACAAGCCCCTTGCCATGGGGTTGCAAAGAATTGGACAGGACTGAGTGGCTAAGCGCACGTGGGGAAAGTCCGCAACACCCACGCCCTTGGCTTAGCTCCCCAGTGTCACCTCCCAGCGTCCCCTGCTCCTCATGCTCCAGCTCCCAGGTAAGGTGGCTCACTCCTAGCTCCATGCTGCTCCCAGCCCTCTGGCTGGGCACAGTCTGCGGCTCCTGCTGGTCCCCACTCTCTGTGTCGTTCCTCAAGATGGCCCTTGAAGACTTGGTCACGTGTGTCCATCCCCGGGGCCTCGCTGGAATCCCAGCTCGTGCTGTTGACTCTGCTGTTCTCGCTGACTCCGCGTGTCATCCTTACATTGGTCTAAGCTTCCTCCTCCACCAGGGGTCCTTAGCGACAGGCGCTGTGTTCTCTTTGCCCCTCCAGGCCCGTGAACACAGCAGGCGCCAAATACCTGCGTGCTGAAGTGAAGAGCGTCCCCAGAGGCCACACGGGGAGCGTTTTAATGGCGGCTGAAGGGCGTCAGGAGCCTCGTGGGGAAGGGCGGCCCACGGGCCGCTCCGCCTGCCAGCCCGCGCCGAGCAGCTGAGACCCGGGGTGCCGGGGGCTCTTGCTCCCCGTCCCCGGTGTCTCTCTCTAAGCCGGTGTGGCTGGTGCGCCGGGACGCAGGCGCTCCACGTGGCGCCCGGGGTCCTTGTCGTTGAAGCTGGCCCCTCCTCTCCGCTCACACGCGCTTCTTCACACTTGTCACCCCGCTGGGCCCGCGCTGCCTGACCCGGCGTCTCACAGTGCCCCTCATCGCCTCACAGTGCCCCTCATCGCCTCCCTCACCTCGCAGCCGGGAACTTGTTGTCACGGGCTCTTCTTGGATTTGAGGAATTCAGTCCTCTCTGTCTGCTTCATAAGACTGTGTGAGCTTCCTGGACCCCCGCCTTCTCCCCCTCCACAATCAACCGTTTCCCAAGTCCGGTGGAAACGGCCTCTCGGGCGCCTCTTCACTCCGGCCCCTTCTCTGCAGCCTCAGCCCCCCGCCCCGCAGCACCTTCGTTGGAACGTCCTCCTACCTCTGGCTCCTCTATCTCTCTCCTCTCGTCTGTTCTCTGCTTGGCAACTCGACTCATCTTCCTGAAGAGCGTCCTTCTCCCGCTCTAACCACCCCCCCCAAGAGCTTGCTCAGGTCACACTCAGTAGGGTGGCTGATGACATCCTCTCCAGGCATGTCACCGGCCTCTCCCTCTTCAGCTTCGGTCCCTTGAACATTCCAGGCATTCTTGCATGTCTCCCTCCCCGTATACCCCCTCATCCAGCCTCAGCCCCACAAATACGGGTTCAGCGCTCTTTCTGTGATAACGCCACTGTCTGCATCTTCTCTGACTGCCCTCCCTCCACTTGTGTTGTGTGATACCCATCTCTCTGAACACGGTAAGTCAGGGAGGGCTGGAAGGTGGGGTTTCCGCCAGCTGCTTCCTCGGTCACTAGCAGGAGTCTGGTGTATCGTGTGTGCGTGTTAAGTCGCTTCAGTCATGTTCGACTCTGAAGTCCTATGGGCTGTAGCCCGCCAGGCCCCTGTGTCCACGGGATTCTCCAGGCAAGAATACTGGAGTGGGTGCCATGGCCTCCTTGAGGGGATCTTCGAGACCCAGGGATCAAACCCATGTCTCTTCCATCTCCTGGATTGGCAAGCAGGTTCTTTACCACTAATGCCACCTGGGAAGCCTCTGTGTATCACAGGGATCAACTAATCTTTGCTGAATCATTCAATAAGTCAAAGTGCATAACATCCCCAGCTGATGCAAGGAAGTAATAATGTTGGGATCCTTGAGGCTGATGGGGTGGAGACAGAAGCATAGAAGAGTCAGGAGGCAGATGATTTGAGAAGAATAATTTTTCCTCTTCAATTTTCTTGTCCATGGCTGCTTAAACACTTCTATCTAAGCCGTCTCATGCTTTTCCCCTCTAAATTATATATAACATTATTGTAATATTAATATTACAGTATACATTATTATATAAACTATAATATTACACAAAGCAATGTAATCTTATACTAACATTATGGGAAGTTTTAAACAAAGATTTTATCCATAACCTCCTCAAAGTATCCACTGTTTTTGTCATTACATTTCTTTGTATTGTTTGCTCTTATTTATACTTATCCTTACATAATCATCACAATATTTTGCTTTCTTCTTGCTTATTTCATATTTTACCGTAAATCTTTACCCTTTATTGTGTATTTTTGAATACAGGGAACAAATAGAACCTTAGCTTCCCCTGTTTCAAGTGAAGTAAGCTTGAATTCACTAAGGTTGTCTCAAGGGTCTTAGTTTCCATTAAGTTGATCATTGTAGCTGCTCATCTCTGGGTTCTTTCCAGACCCAAAACATTCCTCAAAATACAGAAACCGAAGCTACACCCAAGTACGTGCCGATCCCTTGTTTTCCATCTTTGCAGAATAATCTGTATTGTTCAGCTGTCATCTCAGTGCAGGGTGTGTCCTGTTTTAAGAAAGGGCACTATTTGAAACTCCAAACTGACCGTACACAGATTAACTGAAAAGCAGTTTTTATTCACAAAGCTTTCTTTGTTTTTAAAAGGAGTTCCTGCAATATATTTTTAAATAGACAAACTCCTGGTACATGTTAAACAGATTTGATTGAAAACAGCACAATTTACATATGCCTCGAGGAACAAAATTGCTGTGTACAATGAGGGGCATTTCCACTGTCAGAGACAGGTCTCCACATCTTTTTCCAGGTGCCCAAGGGCCCTCCATTCTCAGCTCAGAGTTGAGCCTTGCAACCCAGTTAGAAGGCCTGGGTTGTTCTTAGCTCAGAGTGATCATGGAACAGAGTTTAGTTCTTGTTGTAGGACTCGCTGGTTTTACAGTGTCACTCATTAGACCCAGGAATAATTGCTTCTTGAAATTTTCATTTAGCATACAGGAAAGTTAATAGAATCCTTTAGTGTCTCATAAGGCTGTTTAATGAACTGAACTGAATGAAAAACTGTATGGGTCTATGGTATTTGTATAGTTAGATTGTCTAATAATATGCCTTCTATTTGTTCAGTATGAAAAATCATTATTTATTGTAATTATTCACCTCTTTTCACCTTTCTATATTAAAGTTTAGATAACAGTTGACATTTCACATGGAAAAATGACTACTTTTTAAATTAATGGATATTGTAATAATATTTTACAAAAGAACTGGGTTCCTAGAGGGCATCCCTTGTGGCTCAGATGGTAAAGAATCTGCCTGCAATGTGGGAGACTTGGGTTCGATCCCGGGGTCAAGAAGATCCACTGGGGGAAGTCATGGCAACCCTCTCAAGTATTCTTGCCTGGAGAATCCCATGGACAGAAGAGCCTGGCTGGCTACAGTCCATGAGGTCACAAAGAGTCAGACATGACCAAGTGACTAAGCACAGCACAGGTTCCTAGAATTTCTGTTGACGAGCAAACTTGCTTTATGGGGAGGATTTATGGGTGACTTTTTTGATGAATTTGTTGGGAAAGGAAGTGAAAAAAAAATTCACAGACTGAAAAAATATTTGTCTGTATATCTGTGTAAAGATCTAGTATTCAGGACATATAAAAAAATCCTTACCACAGTAAAAAGGCAAATCACTCAATTAAACAATGGTCAAAAAGTTTGAATAGATATTTCTTCAACAACAATGAGGAAATGGCAAGCAAACTCAGGAATGAGGTAGTTATGCGTGTTACAACGTGGGTGCACCTTGGAAACAGTAAACTGTGAACAAAGCCAGACAGGAATGGGTGCATGCTGTGTATTCCATTTATATGGAGTGTCCTGCGCGGGGAGATCCAAAGAGACAGAGAGGTGATGAGGTGAGCGTTTTCCAGGGGATGGGTGGGGAGGGGGTTTGGGACCGACTGCTAACAAGTATGGATTTCTTTTTGGAAAAAATTGTAAAATTAGATAATGGTGATGGTCTTAGAGCATAGTGGATGTACTAAACCATTGGATTTGTATATTTTAAAATGATGAGTGGCCAGAATACTAGAGTGGGTAGCCGTTCCCTTCTCCAGAGGATCTTCCCAACCCAGGGATCGAACCCAGGTCTCCTGCCCTGCAGGCGGATTCTTTACCAGCTCAGTCACAAGGGAAGCCCAGAATACTGGGATGGGTAGCCTATCCCTTCTCCGGTGGATCTTCCCAACCCAGGGATCAAACCCAGGTCTCCTGCCCTGCAGGCAGATTCTTCACCAGCTGAGCCACCAGGGAAGCCCTGTGATATGTGAACTATATCTTAATTTTTTAAGAAACCAGGGGAGATAAGACTTGTTAAAGACACTTATAGATACGACAAGCAGAAAGGATGCTTATAAAAAACCTGACCTATATGAGCCAAGAAGATGAAGAAATGAAATGAAACATTCTCCACTCAAACTCATACAATATCCTGTTAAAGCTGAAGCTAAAGAAGGACCAAAGTCAATAGTCAAAGGTCCAATGGAGAAAGGACTCATCATGCCAGGCACCAGCTCTTACAACACCCCACACTCCTGGTGATACAGTACAGCCAACAACAACAGCAGCAACCCAGTCAAACACAGAGGGAAAAACAAAAGCCGCTACTGTTTAGAGATGTAGATTTCCTTAGGACCCCTGGACTGTAAATAGAATAGTCAGCCCCTCCTTCCTTGTAGTACCAAACACAAATGCTAGTTTGTCTCCGCTGCCTACTGAGAGTGCCTGTTTTATATTTGTACATCGTGTTTGCTGTCTTCCACAGTGCCTTTTATCAATATAGCAAATGTTGGTTTGCTTCTCCTGGGAAAATCGACAACACATCTACCCCATTTTGCCGCAAGGATGAACTGAAACGGTATCAGTTTTTCTCAACTCTGACCTGAAGGACCTTAAATTTCCCTGTGATTCTATTCCCATATAATATGTTGATGACCTTTTGTTGTGTTGGAAAGATGAGGTAAGCTCATAAACTTTAAGACAGATTCCATCTGTCTACTTAACTGTTTTTTAGCTCAGAAAGGGCAGAAGGTTTTCGAAGAGAAGTTGCAATTCTGTTACAGTAACTTCATTACCCAGGACATGCTGTATCCTACGGAGGTCAATCCCTTATTTATCACAGACTCCTGAACCTTTAAAACGTGTCCCCACCAGTCACTAAGACACAATTCAGGAGTTTTCTGGGTCTCACTGCAGACAGAGGCTTCCCAAATTCTCTGAAACTGTGATGCTGCGGTGTGGGTAACCAGTTACCTGTTCTTGATCTGTAAACATTAACAGTCTTTCTGTGAGTCAAAATTAGCCTTTTATCAGCCTCCCACTTGGTGCCTGTGGAATCATTTTTCCATGTTATTACATGAGAGACAAACCCCTTCACGGTCTGATCCAGCTTCATGGGGATCACTGGTGACCAAGAGCTGTCTAGTGCTTCTCTTGACTTGGTGGTGAAGTCCCAACACACAGTCTCTGAGCTGTGGCTTGGTTTTGGGGTCCCCTTTGATTGTGTTGGGCTTTCATGGAGTGCATCATTTGTCTATCACTAAGACAAGATGACACAATGTTTCTCAGCAAGCAGGCTTACATCTTGCAAAATTCTGTTATTTTTCCAGTTCCTCACATATTTCCATGCATTTCTCCTGTGGATCTTACTATGTTTCTCTCACTGCTTTAGGGAAGGAGAAAGCTTTGACTCCATAATCTCCATTTGTGAACTATCTATACCTTGAATGTATTTATGAGAAGGCCTCCAGAAACCTCAGACTTACTGTTGGTTGTTGATGGGTCATTTCTTAAGACTGAAACAGGAAAATAACAGACGAGTTAAGCTGAAAATCTTGCTTCACCCAGAAGGGCAGAATGGAGTTAATAAGTTTGATATATGCACTGGAAGTAGCTATGCTTGTGGGATAATCTATGATTTTTGACTGCTTTGTAAACAGAGAGCGTTTTTAAGCTTAGTGGGAACCCCGATTAAGAGTGGGCAGCAAATCAAAGAGTGTTTGCATGCTCTGAGGCTGTCGCAAAGTAGATGCTCCTACAAAGGGGATACCACGAGGCTGAAGGCAGTGCCCTGGCAGCTTATTAGTCAGAAAGGAGGCCCCCACTGGGATTTCAACCCTCATAGTATACCAAGAAGCCGAGTCTTTGGAGAGACATGCAGAGGCTATAATAGGATGCAGGACGTTAGCTCCAAAGTAAGAAGACCTCAAATGGAAGCTTTCAACCATTTTTTTTTTTTTTTTTACATAAAACTACCCACCCTGGGATGGAAAGATGGCTAATGTATTCAGTCAACACTGACGGAGAAATGTCACTAAAATTGTTAAGGTTGGTGGGCTCTCTGAAGCGTGTATTTCATTTGTCACCAGTGGAAGTTTGGTGCAACAGTAAACGTGAGTAAAGGTGGGACATGAGTGAGAGCCCAAATCCCAGGGCTCTTTTGCTCATCTCCAAGTGAACGTCCCACAGCTGTTCTCTACAACTGAGTCTCTATTCCTGCCGGTGGTACTGATGAACCATTTTTCTATGCAGTATATTTCTATATATATGCAGTAATACAAGATATTTGTTTTTCTCTTCCTGACTTACTTCACTCTGTATAACAGACTCTAGCTTCACCCACCACACTTCAGCTGAGTCAAATCCGTTCCTTTTAATGGCTGAGTAATATCCCATTGTATATTTGTACCATGACTTTATTTATTCATCTGTTGATGGACATCTAGGTTTCTTCCATGTCCTGATTATTGTAAATAGTGCTGCAATGAACACTGGACTGCGTGTGTCTTTTTGAATTATGGTTTTCTCAGGGTATATGCCAGTAATGGGATAACTCTTACAATAGCAATTTTTTTCCTTTGATTTTGTGTTTCCAATTGGGAACCAGAATGTGTCAACCACAGGAAATTCCATTTTATTGGGACTACTTTTAAAGAGCTTTGCAAAGCCCTGCAACTTCACTACTGTGTATATCATCTCCAATCTTTAGGAAAGGCAGAAAGGAAGGAAGAAAAAAACAAAGGAATCTCCAAGAAAAGAAGAGAGAACAAAAAGAACTCTAAAATTCAAATTAGCAGGGCTCTGAGGGCTTCTAAAACGTCCTTGATCTAAGGGATTGCCATTGGCTTTCATGACAATGAGGTCATCTGCTTCCAGGACTCATGGTTTCTGTGCGCAGGAATTAGTAACAGGATAGCCCAGGTATTTGTGAATATCCCTTCCAATTCTAGGCTCTACACTATGGCAGTAGACATGGTTAAAGGCTGCAGGAATTCATGCAGTATACACCAGTTGCATTAACAGGTACAGGCAGCCTTTCCTCATTATCCTCTTAAACAAACTTTATATTTTAATATCCAGAAACCCAGTCTTCTGAAAGAAACATTAAATGGAGACAATCCCCAAACCCCACTGGAAAGGATGTTATCAAGTACTATTAACAACTAGAACAGCAGTAAAATTCCAAGGGATTGATTTTTCGGATTTGTATGTCTTGTCGTCGTTGCTCACTCACTAAATCACGTCCAGCACTTTGCAGCCCCATGGACCGCAGCACGCCAGGCTTCCCCGTCCTTCACTCTCTCCTGGACTTTGCTAAAATTCATGCCCATTGAGTCGGTGATGCCATCCAACCATTGCATCCTCTGCCTCTCCCTTTCTCCTTTGCCTTCAGTATTTCCCAGGGTCTTTTTCCAGTGAATTGGTTCTTCACATCAGGTGGTTTATGTGTCTTAATTAAAACTGTCTTGGAGACCTTAAGCTGAGGGGCCTTAGAAACCCCCCAAGAAGAAGATGATCTTCAGAAGGAGATGGCTTCTACCCAGAACTTTGGACCAACTTGTTGATTGTACAGAGTGTAGATATCTTCCACCTAAGTTCTACAGAATAAGACTGCAGACTGTCATGCTCTAACCTGAATTCTTTTGTTCTTTGTTTCTCCAGCTATTTATCTTCTTTCTTCCCTAGCTGGTGAAAGCTCCTTTGACCTGTGTTACTGACAAGGCTCAATCCTTCATGTGGCCCTTTCCAATTCTGGTCACTTCTTCTCTGGGCCCAGACTCTGACCACATTTTACTTGCTAAAACATATCACCAAACTGACTGTTGGATTTGTACACATTGACCTTTGGAGCCACTCAGTTTCCCTTGGTTCTAGCTTCTTATAATTAGTTGGTTTTATAACTAATTAGTTGGTTTCTTGGGTACTTGAACTCACCTTTGCTAACTTTTTGATGGCCACCACAACAGCAAGAAATCTAAAAAAAAATTACTTTGCATCTTTAGAAAAGGAAGTTCATATCCTCAGTCAAAACGAGACTTGAGGGCCTTTGTGGGAGCTAACTTTAGTAGCTGAAATTTTTTAAAAAATAGAACTGGAAGAGGACTAGGGTATGTATTGGAGGCTATATCTCCTTCCCAGACCTTATAGGTAAGTCACATTACTTTTAGTCTGCTTTTGATCTACCTAATCATTGTGATACTAAAAAGTTTGCTGCCTGGCACTGAACCGTTCTTGGGTGTGGCATCAAAACATTATGACATCATCAGATCATCCTGTTTTGGCCAAAACCAGATCATTGAGCGTTCCCCAGGGACCAATACTAGATTTGTGACACAAGAGCATCCTTGCTGTTCCCTGAAAACTGGATTGAAACTTGCTGCTTTGGCAAACTGATCCCTACATTCATGAGAGGATCTAGCATTCATTTTGATCCAGCAGTTTCTCTTCTAGAAAATAGGTCATTTGAAAATTCAACTGAAGAAGGAGAAAGTCTGGACTTTGATTTAAAAACCCAAGCTACTCACCCTAAATTTATGGATTGTTTTCTCCTCCAAGTGGCTTCATCTCGTGTTTTATGTTTTACAAAAGGCCAAGAAATTAAGGAGAATCTTTCTTGCCATGATTTAAAGACTAGAAGACAGAATAGATAATCCCACCAAAAGCATATAAATCCTTTTTTGAGAGATTCATGGAAGAGGGCAGAGGACAAGAATGCCCTGTTCATATCTGTAAAGGCTTTGTTGGGATCTTTAATATTAAAAAATGATCTGGAATGCAAACAAATCAATCATAACATTGCACAGTTTTGCTAATAACCCTATATTTGGTTCTGCAGGCTTTTCATATGGAGGATGTGATCTTTAGCTAATCTGGCCACTCTCAGCTCCTTGCTGGGAAAGAGACTGCAAATCTGGTAATAATCCTCCTCTTGGTATTTGTCTGTGCTGTAGTATGCTAATATGTCATCTCTGGAGTCTTAAATGCTTCTGCAACTGCTGTACCTCAAATGACCCAACAAATGATCATCCAGCAAAAAAGAGCAGGAAAACCTCACATTTTGTGGGAGTTGACCCAACTTTGCCGGAAACCTGATACCGCAAATAGTAGTAAAGACATGGGCCAATCATACTCTTGGGTACAATCCTTAATGATCCCTCCTTGAGCTCAGGTTGGAGAATTACAGCGTGGGAGGCACTGAGAAGCAGAAGAATCTATCTGTGTAACTTACTGTCTAACTTAACAGGACTTACTATTACACTAAGACATACTGTTATGTTTTTATTAACATATTTTTATTAACTCAAGAACATTTTGTCCAGAGAGTTGCAGATAATTTTCTGAAAAATACAAGAAATTAGTAGAAAGAATTAAACCACAGTTTACTCATTGACCCGCTTGCTTCAATATCATTGCCTTGCTGTGACCATCAGTCATAAATTTTATTATACAGAGCACTCCTCTTCAGGAATGACAGGGATTAGACTGATGCAGAAGCTGAAGCTCCAGTACTTTGGCCACCTGATGCGAAGAGTCTACTCATTGAAAAAGACCATGATGCTGGGAAAGCTTCAGGGCTGGAGGAGAAGGGGGCGACAGAGGAAGAGATGGTTGGATGGCATCACCGACTCAATGGACATGAGTTTGAACCAACTCCAGGGGTTGATGAAGGACAGGGAAGCCTGGTGTGTTGCAGTCCATGGGGTTGCAAAGAGTTGGACACAGCTTAGTGGCTAAAAAAACACCACCACAACAGATTCATCTTCCTGCCTGAAACAACAAGCAAAGCAAAGCAAAACAAAACATATGACATGATGTTCTCTTTAGACTCTGGACATTAGGCAACAAATACAATGATCCTAGAGAAATGAGAGTAAAACATGATGCTCGAAGTGTTCAGCCTGTTGTCTTGAGAGAATTTCCAGGTCGTGGCACAGAGAGGGGAAGCCCAGGAGACTCTCTGAGTCAAGGAAATGAAACAAAGCCTGGGATATTCAAAGCAGCTGCAGGACTGAGCTCTCAGGAGTAGAAAGCCACAAAGTGAGAAAACCCTGAAGGTTAGAACAGAGTCCCCTCATAATTAATCAGCAAAGTTCAGATCAGCACAGGTAAGTGGGCAAACTACCTGAATACCACTAGCCATCCGGGAACAGTCCACTTGTCGGGCACTGAGTTGACCGCTCAGACAGGTTGCACCTCTGTGGTAGGGGTGATTGGCCCTTGACAGAGCACTTCTCCAGACATACTCAAAAAATCACTCATATACAAGATCTGAAACAGTCAAGCTGTGAGGGTTTTTTTTTCCAAGAATTATTTACAAAAATGAAAGCTATTCTACACTCAAGATAAAATTTGCAATGTCAGGCGTATACAAAGAAGCAGCAAAGCATGGCACATACGAGAAGAAAATTCATAAAGTTAAAACCGACCCAGAAGTGACTAAGATGTTAGAGTTAGGAGGAAAAATACACTTAAAAGTTACTATAACTGTATATTTAAAAAAATTAAGTGGAGACATGGAGATATAGGAATGACATAAGCTGAATTTATATAGAGAGAAACTATAATGTCTGCAATGACATAGACTGGACTGAGTTAACAGATTAGTCATGGCAGAAGGGACGATTACGGCGCTGAAAGACATAGCAATGGAAACGATACAAAGCAGAACACAGGGGGAGATGTTTACATGAAAAGAACATCTGTGAATTGTGGGTTAACTTCAAACACTATAATAGACACTTAGTTGGAATCTCCAATGGAGTTTAAGCAAGAGAGAAAAATATTTGAAAAAAAGGTGGTAATATAAAAAAACTATAAATGTGCAAGATTCATAGCATGAAGAAAACACCAAGAGACATCATATTGGAATTATCTAAAGCCAATGTGAAAAAGAAAACCTTAAAAGAAGTGAAAAAAATTAACCCTATATGTACAGAAGAACAAAAATCAGAAAACAGTATGCTTATCACCAGAAACAGTGCAAATGATAAAACACTGGAGTGATGTCTTTGAAGTCCTAAAAGAAAAACACTGTTGACTTATAAATCTATATTCAGCAAAAATGTCTCCTAAAAACAAAGGTAACATAAGGGTGTCTTCAGAGACACAGAAGCAGAAGGGATTCACCTTTCCTAAATATTCATATTTTAGATGACTATATATGTATATATGGGCTTCTCGAGTAGTGCGATGGTAAAGAATCCGCCTGCCAAGGCAGAAGATGAAAGAGACATGGGTTTGATTCCTGGATTGGGAAGATCCCCTGGAGAAGGAAATGGCAACCTACTCCAGTTTCCTTGCCTGGAAAATTCCATGGACAGAGGAGTCTAGCGAGCTACAGTCCATGGGGTCATAAAGGGTTCCACTTGACTGAGCAACTGAGCACACACATGTATGTATATGTGTGCCATGATTGCATTACGCATGGAGCAAGCTATGGAGAGAATTATGCCAGTCGGTAAGCACTGGTTATCTGAAAAAAGAAGAAGAGGGAGGAATAAACAACAAATAAACAAACAAACAACAAAATCACTCGTCTAAGCAAAAGTCGTGTGTCCATAATTGAAGCATCATACATACTATGAGCCCATTTCTATGCTTAATGGCTTCAAACTATTAATAGTGATAAGGTGGTTTCCTTGAACTTTCTTAAAGTAACAAACACACAGTAAAATGTTTTTATTATACTGTTACCTCTCTTCCTTTTTTTTTTTTTTTGGTGTTATCTCTCTTTCTAACCTAGTAGGCTTAACGTCTCATTAACTATAATAATTCTAGCATAAATTGTAAATTTTGAAATAATAAGATCTTTTTAATAAGGATCATTTTTTTTCTACCAACAGCCGTAACTTTTGCATGATCATTTGTTTTGTAAATCTCATTACAACTTTGCTGCTTGATCAGTGTTTCATGAGTTTTTAAAGATATAAATCTACCATATTTAGGGAAAAAACAACAAGAACAACAAAACTCCAGTGAACACATGATCGCGTCTACAAAAGTAGCCTAATTCCAGACAAATTGAAAAGACCTTAGCACCGCCACCTTTGTCTCCAGTGAAAAATGAGCCCCATTTGATGACTGACCTTCCAAACAACCACAGCTTCCACAGAAAAGTACCAGGCTCTGTGGGCCACAGCTGTTACCTTAGAAGAGTCATCACTCGGGCGCTCAGGGGAAAACTAGCTCTGCTGATCAGGCTGTGTTGACAGAACCCTCAACAATACAATAAAATAAAATGGATGCTTGTAAACCCTGAGTGAGAGCTTTGATTAGACACGAAGGTGAGTGTTTGTGTTCCTGAAGACAGCCAGTTGTGCCGTGCCCCAAGAATACTGGCTGTTAACATCCTCAGTTACGGGAGAGACAAGGCAGATGCCTCTCGCCGCCCTCCCTCCAGATGCATACGCAAGGAAAATGCATGAATACTCATGTTTATAGAATAGAACTGTGGCTGAGGGCACATTCTGTTGTTTGGAGAAGTGAGTTAGCATCTTCAGTCTGTTTGTGGCTTCTTGTCAATGCTCATGCGGCGGGAACGGATGGTGTGTTTCCCAACTTACGGATGCCCCTCGGCCTTTACCATCTCCAAGCAGTCCTCTGCTACTCAGACATCAAGAAACAGGTACTTCCCTTCCTTATTTCCTTGAAGGGCAGGACATTACAGGACTTGATAGATGGGGGAAGCGGTTCCATCTATAACCCTCCAATTTTTTCATGTCTGGTGTCCCAACCACATTATGATGTTCACCTTGGGAAGTTTGGGGAAACGTTTGATGCTGTGTTAGGATGAGAAGTTTGGCTTAAAGCCTTGACAGTCTGAAATGAATTCCCTGCCTCCTGGGTATCATCTCCATGGGCAACTTACAGTGTCTGCTGTTGTGACCCTCTTCCTGCCCCGTGACTGGTTTCCTCCTTGCCTCCGGGGGCCACTTGGGTACCTGTTGGAGAATCTGAACGTTCGATTGTTCAGCCGCAGAGTAAAGCCTAGGATGCAGGGGGTTCCAGGACGACATCGCTGGGACCCTGACAATAAGCCCTAGTAGTAGGGCCTCTTATAGCTTATTATAGCCTCGTAAGATAAGTAGAGGAAAAAAATTAATTAAAACTAATTAACATGAAATTGGAGTTTCTGGTCATTAATTGCACACAGTCTGGTTTAAATTTCTGAAGCTCCTTGTGGGTCTTGCTCTAGTGATTGAATCTGTGGGAAGAAGGGATTTCACGGTTTTTGTCTTTGCAAGTGACTTTGCTCAGAATTTCTTTACAACTTTTATTTCCACTCTGGGATTAGACTGAGGTAATCCACCCCCGATAGAGGCAGGGGATGAGGTGGAATAATTAAGAACTCTGACTGCGTCTTCTTGGAGTACAGGATCCAAACCTTTCTAGGTGCCCAGCAATCTTTTCCTCCCTGGAAGAAAGGCGATTCGGTGGAGGACTAATGGCCTTGAAACTGTCTCAGGTAATACCATTGGAGGCATTTTCAAGAAGAGCATTTCTTCCCTTTGGGGGCCCCAGGCTCTCACACTGCTGCGGAGGAGGGCGGGGTGACTTTAGGAGTTCAGCACGCTGGTTGGGGGCGAGGAGCCCCATGCCCTCAGTTCCTGGTTGTGGGGGATGCAGAGACTGCCGGGGTCAAGGTCCCATGATGCCGTGGGAAGTTCTAGCTTGGGGGTGGTCCCTCTCTCCAGGCAAGGATCTGGGACCCGAGGGACTCACTCAGACTTCATGAGCCTGATTTTTATCACCAGTGACATGGAAATGATAATTTTTGTGCTTTTTTATGCCAATCAAATCTGACCGACCCTGTGGGTTCTGCTGGAAACAGAGGGACTTGTGCCAGGGTGGTTTGAGGACAAACAAGTGGCAGGAAATGCTGGTTCTGGAGAAGTTCAGGATCCAGGTTCCCTAGAGAAACAGGACCAATAGGATGTATTCTTTGTCTTTACAAATTATTTTTATTAATAGTCCTAATTATAAATGTAATGTGTATTAGCATACAATATTGGTAAACCACAGTAAAAGTATAGCAAAATAAAATCACCTGTGATCTCTCCACCCAGAAACGAGCATCGTTTTATGTGATGGTGTATTTTCTTCTAGATTTTCTTATGAAAAGTTAATTTCGGTGTCACCTAAATAGTCTATACAAGTCCTGATGGAATTTTACTTTCAGCAATTTTGAATTCATCAAACTTGAAACATATATACATACATGTTAAGAGAGAAAAATGAGGAGGAGGAGAAAGAGAAGAGGAAGCAGAGGGAAGGGGAGGATGAAGAGGAAAAAGAAAGAGGCCCAGGAGCCGGTGGACCTGTCCCGGTGAAATCTACGCTGGAGACCAGGGGAGACTGGATGCTGCGCGTGGAGTCCCAAGCCCGTCTCCAGGCAGAGTGCCTTCTGAGGAGCTCAGCGTTTCTTTTAAGGCCTTCTGCTGCTTGGATAAGGCCCGCCCGCACGGAGGAGAGTATTCTGCTTTACTCAGAGCTACTGATGCAAATGGTAACCTCCTCTCAAAATATTTCACGGCACCATGCAAAGCGTGTCTGATCAAACTAGGGTACCGCGGCTGGTCAGGTTGACACAGCAAGTCAACCCCGCACCCGGTGAGGACCGGGGGAAGCCCGCGCTCTGATTGGCTGGCCTGGAGGCAGCTCTGCCTTGAGGGCGGAACCGGGAAGTCAGGCATGCGGGATGGTTCTTGGGGGCAGAGGGACCGTCTTGCCCTGGCCCCTTCTCCCCTCCATGCTACTGACAGCGTGTTAGCAGACATCTGGGGGAACCTTGGCTCAGCGCGTCACCTGCACCCGCCTCTCAGGGCATGGGGAAGTGGCCCGAGGGGCGGTCCCGGGGGGAGCCCAGGAGTGTCCAGAATGAGCTCCCGGTCACCAGCGAGGAGTTCCTGAAGGCGGTTTGCTCACCAAACAGAAGTAGGAGCTGAATGTGCTTGCCTTACGGCTCCAGTTCCCTCCGAGAGATCCCTTGACCTCTCAGCCTGAACTCAGTTTCCTTAGTAAGAAGAGGGGAGGTCAACCCCAGCAGAGGAGGGACTGTCTGAGGCCCTGTCCTCAGGAGGGGTCTCCGTTCTTCTCCAGCACTTGGTGAGGGAAGTCCATCCTTTACTGTGGAACACCAGGTTTGCTTAGCAGGAGATGCTTCAGTCATCTTTAAAAGGAAGGAATTCACTCCCGCGTCCCATTCTCTTTTTACTTATAGATCCTAGTTGTCACTTGAAAGCTACTTTATTTTTCGTGTCTTAAAAATTTTATTGTTATCACTTGTTTTCCCTTAAGATTATCATATGTCACGAATTAAATATTCTGTGTTTCATTTCATCTACTGTATCATCTTTTTTTTAAAGGACACATGTATCCTGCCACATTTTCAAGTTTAAAATCATGAGATGTAGAATTGCTAAAGGTAAACCTCCAGCAGTACTTACAGAGACTCATTTATATGATGTCAACATTAATTAATAAGTAAAGGCTCATTAATTAATTAATTGACATAAGTAAAAGCTAGAAGAAAATGCAACCCCATGGACTATAGCCTGCCAGGATCCTCTGTCCATGGAATTCTTCTGACAAGAATACTGATGTGGGTAGCCATGCCCTCCTCTGGGGGATCTTCCCAACCCAGGGATCATCTCTCCTGCACTGCAGGCAGGTTCTTTACCATCTGAGCTGCCAGGGAAGCCCAGAAGAAAACATGCCATAATGTAAAAGGGTGATAATTTCTGCGTGAAGGGATTACAGGTGATTTAAATTATTTTGTTATGCTTGTAATACATTTAACTAATATCATACATTAGCATGTATTACATTTATAATCAGAAGAGTGTATTAATCAAAATCAAAATAACTCATTAAAGACAATATAAAATTACAAGCAGACATTATCTGTGTTACATGTCTTTCATAACTTAATGCAAAGAGATTTCTGTACTTTGCTAAGCTTGTCTTACCCATCCCTGAGGTATGGGAACTAGATGAACAATTATTTGCAAGCTTCTGGTGGTATAGAGGAGAAGGTGTATCAGACTCTGGGGTGGACAACAGAGTCTCATGAAGAGCTATCTTTATCTTTTATACTTCTTGGCATTTGATGTTTTCAAACTGTGGTGCTGGAGAAGACTCTTGAGAGTCCCTTGGACTGTGAGGAGATCAAACCTGTCAATCCTGAGGAAAATCAGTCCTGAATATTCATTGGAAGGACTGATGCTGAGGCTGAAACTCCAGTCCTTTGACCACCTGATGTGAAGAGCTGACTTATTGTAAAAGACCCTGATGCTGGGAAAGATTGAAGGCAGGAGGAGAAGGGGACAAATGAGGATGAGATGGTAGGATGGCATCACCGACTCAGTGGACAAACTCCAGGAGATGGTGAAGGACAGGGAAGCCTGGCATGCTGCAGTCCATGGGGTCACAGAGTCAGACACGACTGAGCAACTGAACAACTTCTTGGCAAGCCTTCGTGCCTGTCCTCCGCATGCACATGCGAAATCACCGAAACCCGTGCTGTGCAAACCCTTCTGGGCCAGAGTGGAAATACTACGGCTTCTCCGAGCCCCGTGTCTCCCACTCTCTGCAGTCTGGGTCCCGTGGTGCAGGGGAGAGGGGACACGGTGATCTGGGCTGTAGCATCTCACCACACGGTGATCTGGGCTGTAGCATCTCATCTGAACGTACCTCTTCAGCCCTTCCTGTTGGAATTACTCCCCCCTCGCTGTGCATCAGGTTTGTTATTTTTACACTTTAGGATTCATTGTACTTTGATTTATTCACTTGGCAATGTCTTATTCCCTTATCGCACTGTAAACAATTTGTCAGCAAGGACACTTTGATTTTTTCCCTGTGTTCTCTGGAATTGCTGGCACTTTGCTTCATGTGCAGTAGATGTTTCACTGCACTGATGTTCCTACAGTGTCACTGTGGATAACAGGAGTACTTGTCTGAGGTCTCCCCAATGTCACAGCGAGGCCCCTGGGCTCAGATATCTGCTAGACGCCGTCTGTGGGACTGAACCTGGGGAGCTGGGTCAAGGCCGTTCGCTGTGAGCTGCTTGGCTAAGACTCCCCCCAGGCCAAGGTCAGAGGATGAAGTAACTAATTCCATCCCCAAACATCCAGTCCTTGTGTTCTTCAATTCAATCAAGAAGAGTGGTCAATTTAGAGATTAAAATGGATTCCAGCCATAAGGGACCACTTATGTCTTTTAAATGAATTATCCATGAGATCCAAGCCAATAAGAGGAAAAGCAATGCGAGTGCTGTAAAATAACCCCGGAACATTTAGAGATGAAATTCACTCTCTTTGACATAAGGAAAGTCCAGACCCTGTATCTCGTTCGCTTGACAGGATCGTGCCTGATGAAGCACAAAGTTCTGCTCAAGCGCAAGGAAGAACAGGGCGCTGATAAAAACACTAATAGTAATAATCGGCGCTTACAGAGCTCACACTACGTGACATCCAAGTGTCTCTGGTAACTCATGAAGCCCTTCTTAGCATGATTCAGCTTCCGGCTGTGTGTCTCCTTTCCCCAAATGTCTGTGACCTCAGTTCATACCTTGGTTAGAGGTGATTTGCTTTCCTTCAATTTTTAA